TTTCAGAGTGGAGGAGGACTGGGGGGTGGTTAGGGCTGCAATGAGTGAATGTAGAGGGGTCACGATTTAGCCCATAACACCTGGACTTTAATGTTTAAATGGGGTCTGTTCTGGTGGAAGCTGGGCTGAGGGGCTTGGAGTCTAACTTTCCAATTCCCTCCCTTCAACTTCCTAAAAAGCCTCTTTACGGCCTTGAGAGGGAAATATTAGGAAATCACTAGTTTTTATGGCTTTGGAAAAAGAGAAAATATTCAAGGAAACTCAGTAAACTAAAACACCACACATGAGTCATTTCTGTGAAAATACAGATGGGGCCATCAGCTAATTTAATATGAATGCCGACACAGTTCATTTGATGTTTTCCTCAACTCGCCCAGAATTTCTCTGTGTTGGCCAGAATTACCTCTGAATTATTTTCCTCACCAACTTCTGCAATTAAAAGGATAAGGCCAAGTGCAGTAGCTCACACCTGTAATCCCAGCACTTTGGGAGGCTGAGGCGGGTGGATCTCTTGAACTCAGGAATTTAAGAAAAGCCTGGGCAACAGAGCAAGAACCTATCTCTACAAAAAATACCAAAGATTAGCCAGGTGAGGTGGCACATGCTTGTGGTTCCAGCTACTCAGGAGGTTGAGGTGGGAGGATCACTTGGGTCCAGGAGATCAAGGCTGCAGTGAGCCATGATTGCGCCACTGTACTCCAGCCTGGGCAACAGAGTGAAACCTGTCTCAAAATAAATAAACAAATAAATAAAAGGATAAATACTCCTCCAGGAGACAGTAAGCTTTACCCTTATGTATTTATAGTTGAAGATAAAATATTGACTATTTTGGTGGCATAACTAGCATATTTGATACCAGGCGAACTGATCATTTTTAAACATCTTCCTCCTCCAAACAACAGAGTTATTTTTGGCAATAATTACATAGTAATACGTAATAATCAGCACTGTCTTGATTTGTTCTTTATCTGAACAACAATGAACACTTTGAAAAGAATAAATTTCCATTTAAAGATATTCAAAGTTGGTAAAATATTTCATGCATGAACTAAAATTTTCACTTACCAAATAAAAGTATACCACGTGGTTTGTTCTTTTCCACAGTTTTATTTATTTATTTATTTATTTATTTATTTATTTATTTGAGATAGATAGGGTTGCCCAGGCTGAAGTGCATTGGCACAATCATGGCTCACTGCAGCCTCAACCTCCCAGGCCCAAATGATCCTCCCACCTCAGCCTCCTAAGTAGCTGGGACCACAGGCGTGTGCCACCATGCCCAGTTAATTTTTTAATTTTTGTAGCGATGGGGTCTTCCTATGTTGCTTACGTCAGTTTTGAACTCCTAGACTCAAGTAATCCACCCGCCGCAGCATCCCAAAGTGCTGGGATTACAGGCATGAGCCACCGCGCCCAGCCCACTGTTTTGAATGTTAAACACAAGCAAAACTCCAAGTGGCCATAGACAATGACATAATTACAGTAACTCATGCTCTGTGTCCTTGGTCTTTACAATTACTACACTGTCCTGGCTTATTTTGAAGCTACTATTTAAACCCAGGAATACATATTATCATAAGGGTTGAAGACAAGCTGCAACCACAAATGAGCTCCAGTGATTCCAAACCGTTAAGAACCTACCTGCAAACTGAGTATGTGAGGCAGCCGCCGGTATCATTGTGAGTTCTCTGAATGAACTTCCAAGTACAAGGGTTAGTAAAGCCCAGGTGATAGGAATGTGCCCACTGAAGCTCAGATAACCACAATAGTTATTTGGAACTTAGACCAATAAATTCCCCACATTGTTTAGAACTGTCAGCACACGGTGATAGTGAAAAACAGACTGGGTTCTCTTCTTGTTTTTCTCTCATCCGCAGACAATGCCTCCCTCTGTGCCTGCCCCTGGAACAGAGGGCTCCCACTGCCTGGTTCTCAGCACAACTCAATGATGGCCATTCTCAGTTTCCATTACCTTATAGGTTCAGGTTTCCTCTTTCCTCCCCAGCCCCTTTTGGTTTTCTTTTCTGGCTCCTCCTCTCCTACTCAACCTCTAAAAGCTGGAATGCCTCGGGTTCCATCCTAGGCTGACCTTCAAGTTTATTCCTCCTCAAGTTCTCACCATCTCAATATATGGCACCAGCGCCCACCCACTCGTTCAAGCCCACAGTGTATTAATCACCCTTTATTTCTCCCTTCCCACCCTACCTTAAGCCTTCGGGAACCTGTGGGTTCTGGCTCCAGTGTATACCTGGGAACTGGCCGCTGCTGACACCCTACTCCTATTGCTCTCTACTTAGGCAGACCTTCTTTTATGGGCTGATGTCTCCCCACGCCCCCAAAAAATCGTATGGTGTGGCTGGGCATGGTAACTCAATGCCTGTAATCCCAGCACTTTGAGAGGCAGTGGCAGGCGGATCAGGAGGTCAAGAGATCGAGACCATCCTGGCCAACACGGTGAAACCCCTTCTCTACTAAAAATACAAAAATTAGCCAGGCGTGGTGGTGGGCGCCTGTAGTCCCAGCTACTCAGGAGGCTGAGGCAGGAGAATCGCTTGAACCCAGGAGGCGGAACTTGCAGTGAGCTGAGATCCGGCCACTGCACTCCAGCCTGGCGACAGAGCGAGACTGTCTCAAAGAAAAAAAAAAAAAAATCATATGGTGAAGTCCTAAACCCCAGCACCTCAGAATGTGACTGTATTTGGAGATATGGGCTTTAAAGAGGTAATGAAGTTAACATTAGGTCATTAGGGTGGCCCTTAATCCAATGAGACTGTTGTCCTTACAAGAAGAGGAGATTAGCACACAGACTCTCATAGGAGGGAGCCCATGTGAAGACACAGGGAGAAGGCAGCCACCCACAAGCCAATGAGAGGCCTGAGAAGGAATCGACCCTGCCAGCACCTTGACCTTGGACTGCCAGCCTCCAGGGCTGCGAAAGAGTGCATTTCAGTTAAGCACCCAGTCTGCCGGATTGTATTAAGGCAGCCAGACCTGCCTAAGGCACCCTCCTCACCACTCTTCCCGCTTCCCACTCTGAAAACTGCCTTTTTCCCTCTTGAGAATTGATTGTTCATGCACCTTACTGGCTCCTTATCCCCTTTGAGGTTTTCTTTTTCTTTTAGATTTGTAGGACTTTGTCAATTACGAGTTGAAACTGTTTCCTTCTGGTTTTAGGCTCACATTTTCACCTTTTAAAAAATTATGTCTGGGCTGGGCACAGTGGCTCACGCCTGTAATCTCAGTACTTTGAGAGGCTGAGGGGAGCAAATTGTTTGAGGTCAGGTGAGGCAGTTCTGCAGTCATTTATACCCATTTTAAATTATATGCAAATCAAGGGGCAGGTTATGCAGACATTTCTAGAAAAAGGGCTGTAACTTCCAGGTCATTGGGTTGTTGCCATGGAAAGAGGTGGTAAATTTGGGTGTCAGCATGGCAGTGGTAAACTGACATGGCACACTGGTGAACATGTCGTATGAAAAGCTGCTTCCACCTCGTCCCTGTTTTAGCTAATCCTCAACTTAGTCCAGTGCCTAAACCCCGCCTCTGGAGTCCAGTCCCACTTCCTACCTCAGATACAGTCCCTTTTTTGATCCTTTTATTTAAAATCTTTGTATGAACTTAAGTATATCCCTTGCAAATAGCTCAGGATTGAATCGTATTTTTTTTAAACCTAAAATCATCTGTATTTATTCTATTCTATTGTATTTTATTTTGAGGTGGAGTCTCACTCTGTTGCCCAGGCTGGAGTGCAGTGGCAAGATCTCAGCTCACCACAACCTCCGCCTCCAGGTTCAAGTGATTCTCCTGCCTTAGCCTCCCGAGTAGCTGGGATTACAGATGTGCATCACCATGCCCAGCTACTTTTTGTATTTTTGGTAGACATAGGGTTTCGCTATGTTGGCCAGACTGGTCTCAAACTCCTGACCTCAGGTGATCCACCCGCCACTGCCTCCTAAAGTGCTGGGATTACAGGCGTGAGCCACCACACCCGGACCAACATCTGTCTTTTATCTGGCAAGTTCAATTCATTTACACTCGTTGTGATTACTGACATATTTTTATTACCTTTTACTGGCTCATTTAGTACTTTCTATTAAGAGTTTCTGTACTTCTGTTTCAAAATTTTCCTGTCTTCTATTGTACTGTTATTCTTATTGCCCTTTTATACCCACAAGTGGTTTGGAAGTTATTCATTCAATATCTTTTAGTGTTATTCACTTTTAAAAAGTTGAAGTACGGCATACATACAGAAAATTGTGTCCTCCATTTTTTTTTTTTTTTTGAGACAGTCTCTCACTCTTTTGCCCAGGCTGGAGCACAATGGTGCAATCATGGCCCGCTGCAGCCTTGACCTTCTAGGCTCAAGCAATACTCCCACCTCAGCCTCCCAAGTAGCTGGGACCACAAATGCACACCATCACGCCTGGCTAAATTTTTAAAAATTATTTTCTGTAGGAACAGGATCTCCCTATGTTCCCCCAGGCTGGTCTTGAACTCTTGGACTCAACTGATTTTTTTTTTTTTTTTTTGAGACGGAGTCTCGCTGTGTCTCCCAGGCTGGAGTGCAGTGGCGTGATCTCGGCTCACTGCAAGCTCCGCCTCCCGGGTTCACGCCATTCTCCCGCCTCAGCCTCCCAAGTAGCTGAGACTACAGGCGCCCGCCACCACGCCCGGCTAGTTTTTTGTATTTTTAGTAGAGACGGGGTTTCACCATGTTAGCCAGGATAGTCTCGATCTCCTGACCTCGTGATCCACCCGCCTCGGCCTCCCAAAGTGCTGGGATTACAGGCTTGAGCCACCGCGCCCGGCCGACTCAACTGATTTTTCCACCTTGGCCCCCTAAAGTGCTGGGATTACAGGTGTGAGCCACTGCACCTGGTCATGAGAATGCGTTTCTGAGAGTGTGGTTAGGAGTAGCCTGGTGCAAGAGTGGAAAGGGGTGATCTCTTTCTTCCATCCTATTAAGGGTCATAGCCAATACTCTTACAATAAAAGACAGGTTAACAGGAGAAAAACATAACACATTTATTAACATGCATGAAGCAGGGGAGCCATATAAAAAATATGAACATACACAGAAAGGCCCAATGGTTGGCACTTAAGTACTCTCTTCACTGGGGAAAGGGAAGTAGGGGGGCTTTAAATGAATGGACCCAAAGACCTGACAGTGGTTTGTAAATGGTTCTCTTTGGACGCTGAATGGGACTGAAGGACAAACAATAGCTTGTGGACAAGTCATGAAAGGTGAGGGGTAGTACTGCACTGTGAACCAAGGTTGTCTTACTATGCGGATACAGTCTCCCAGGTTCTCTCTTGAAACTGCCCTCAGAAGAAAAGATGAAAAGTCTGTCTGGTATGGTATCCTGGCTGTAGCTTCTTTTTTAGTCTTTTCTTGGGTGATTAATCATTCCTGGTTATTTAATGAGATTCATAGGGAGGGGGCTTTAAGACAACTGCATTTATTTTAGAAGAAGTTTTCTCAATCAGGTAACGGAACTTCCAGAGAAAGAGCTCCTCCTGGTGCTTTAGAAAAAGAAAGGGTCCAAAAAAAAGGAAAGAAAAAGGGTCAGAGAGAGAGCATGCTCCTGGTGCTTTAGAAGAGTGTCAAAAAAAAGAAAAAAAGAAAAAAAAAGAAAAAAAAGAAAGAAAGAAAAGGGTCAGAAAGACACCATGGTGGGGGAAAGTCAAGAGAGAGAGCTTGAGGCTGCTGCTTTAGTTCAGCTCGTCAAATGCCACATTTGGGGCATTATTTTCTGATCAACACTTGTGTAACAAAGAATTCCAAGCTGGAAGTCAATAAACTAAATTCCCCTGTGAGCTCTGTGGCTTCAGCAAGCTGTCTAAGATTCAGGGTCCTCTTCTGTAAAACAGACATTTCCCCTACCCTTCTTGTGGCTCCTTCTGGCCATATTCCAGGGTCTATAACCTTGTATTGCTTCTGTGCAGAAAGAGAAAAGAAGCCACACTTTCCCCAAAGAGTAGCCACAACTACGTAAAAATGAGAAGACATGAAGACACTTCAGAAGAAAGGAGGGTCACCAGGCTCACCCACAAGCCTCAGAGCAGGGCTTCGTTTTGATTCTTTGGGAGTCAGTGCTCTCAATGATCTCATCTTTCTTCACAGCTCCAGCTCTTCCCTCCTCTTTTCTGATGGCCTAGATTATATTTTCGGCAGATTGAGCCAGATCCTCATGACCACCTCCCGGAGGTCTGCTCAGCCCTGGGCTGTCACTTCAGGCAGGCAGTGAGAACTGCAGTGTAACCCTTTCGTCTCTTTCACAACGTCTGACTGCAGAGCCCACCCCGGTCCCAGGACTCTAGTTACACAACCTTTTGAGGCAGGCCCAAGAGATTCCCAGGTAGCACCCTTCCCCTCACCTCCAAATACCCACTTACCCTTCTATCCACACCTCCTCTCTGCAAACCATCACCGTTCCCATACTAGCAGTGATGGGGGACTCTCCAGCCACCCTCCCAGGCACGGCATCATCTCTTCACTTTGTCAGGCTCTGACTCCTGTCATGAGGCAGCAAAGATTCAAGAGAAGGAAGTCGGCCAGGTGCAGTGGCTCACACCTGTAATCCCAGCACTTTGAGAGGCTAAGGTGGGAGGGTCTCTTGAGGCCAGGAGTTTGAGACCTCATCTCTACCAAAAATAAAGAAAATTAGCCAGGTGTGGTGGCATACCTGTAGGCCCAGCTCCTCGGGAGGCTGAGGTGGGAGGATTGCTTGATCCTAGGTCGAGGCTACAGTGAGCCACGATCTCACACTGCACTCCAGCCTGGGTGACAGAGCAAGATCCTGTCTCAAAAAAAAAGAAAAAAAAGAGAGAGAAAACTCTCAAGAGGAGTGAATCCCTCCGCGGTGCTGACTCCTGAGGCCACTCAGCCCTGATTGCCCAGCTGTGGGAATCCCATGCTGGCAGCTGCAGCCGCCGCCACCAGGGTCCTGTAGATGACCCCTTCTTGTTCTCTGCTCCCAGCAGACTCAATAGCTCCTTTTAATTTCCTGTAGCACAGCAAAGAATAAGACTGGATCATTTAACAGGATTCTTCAGTGGCTCAGGATAGCGAAAGAAAAAGCAACCTTAAACCAGACTAACAAGGCTCACCAGGTCCAGGCCACTTCCTTCCAGCAGAAGGAATGGAACAGCGGTTCTGCCCTCTCTTTGGCTGGGCCTGTGAACTCCAGTCCCTCTCGCCCTTCTCACCAGGTCCTTTAGATTCTCCCAGGGCTTTCTGAGCCGCTGCTCTCACCACCTTTTCCTGGCCAGTTCACCTCTGACTTACCTGGAGCTGCAGACCGAGTGCTGCAGCCAATTGTTTCGCCTGTTCCTAATGCTGCCCTCAGCCTCAAAGCCCATCTCCCTCACAGGGCGTGGCAAACACCATCCCTGGAGGAGGGGCTGAGAAATACCAGTGCCAGACTAAAATATGATACAATCACATGAGCAGAAGAAATTAGGCCACTCATAGAGCCCAGGCAACGGAAAACTGTAGCAAGAGCACACTGCTAAAACCAGGGAGGCCATTCAAAGAGTGAGTTCTCCCCAGGAGAGCTCACTGTGCGCGGCCACTTGGATGGAGCAGCAGCTGCTGCAGCTCAAAGCTCACATGATCAGGCGCTCCACATTCTCCTCTGGACTTCAGAGAAAGAACCAAAGTGTGCAGAAGCTGGAAGCGTGGGGAGGCACGAAGGAACAAGACATTGATACAACCTAAAGAAGAGACGGGACAAGTGTTCCGGTGTTTCTTTTAATTATTTACCAGATAAAAAAGAAAAAAAATAGTGATTGTTTCTCTTCACCCCCAACATTTCCGTTTACCAAGGTCGAGTTGGAGAGAAATTCATTGAACAATGATTTGTGCTCCTGGCCTGGAGCAAATTCTCCTCCTCTGCTCTACGCCACCTCAGGCAGCAGGGACAGGGCAAAGGGCTCCAGGCAGAGATCCTGGCGGCTGGGCAGCGGAGTGGCATTGTGGCTATCGTTTCTTCTCACCGTTGCCAGAGCATTCAGACCCCTTCCTGTCTATCCCCCTACCCCGCCCTGCCCCGTCCCTCAGAGGAGGCAGGGAGCGGGGACTGCAGGAAGCAGGACAGGTGCACGGGTGGCCCAGGTAGCTCCCGGCAGATCTGGCAGAAGGCACAGCCCCTGCTTCTATTGCACATCCTGGCTCAGCTCCCCTGCCCCGAGCAGTAGGCCACAAAGTGAAACGCCTTCCAAATTCACAGAGCCCGGTGCTGTGCGCCAGGCTCAAGGAGGGGAGGTGTGTTGTTGTGTGGCTTGTTCTGGAAGATAGGTATGTATTTTTAAGTTATCCCATGATGGGGCCAAGGCCACAGTTTCACCTCTTTAGAAAAGTATAAGGGGTCTGGACATCTCGGGGTCCTGTAGTGACTGGGCCTCTTCCCAGGCGAGTGCAGAGGCCTCGGAAGAAGCTTTCCCCCACCAGCGGACCTCCTGCTGCATCGGATGAAGAGGCAGTGCCCACCGGCCACACCAGCCCCTTCGGACTGTCACGACTCTGGGCCACTTGGGGCGACCTCTTTCTCTGAACACCTGGAGAATTCTGACAAATGACCCTAGAGAAAAACCTTTTACACTACATGTTTCTCCATAAAATGGCAGCTAAGTCCCCTCAAATAAAACCTTGAAGTGTTTCATTCTCATTCTTCTCTTACCAGTGAAATCAAGTGGGGCAGAGTAAGTTATTTAACTGACATTAGCGAGAGGATAAACCCCTCTAAAAAACCACAGGGGGAAGTGGGAACTGATTCAGATTTGGCAAAACTGCAAATCTTTCCCCTTCATAGGCTGGAACGAAGCTGGTGGGTGAAGACAAACTAAGTGTGCCAATGGCAAGAACTGCAGGCTATGAAATGACAGGTCAGACACAGGACTGTATAAATTGTGGCACTATAAAGATGAGAAGGCAGGTCCATAATACAGCTGGGAGCAAGCCTTTGGAGCATCGCTTCCAGAAATTCTATCTGTCCTGTAGTAAGTAGTAGCATCCAGATAAATCAGTAGTTCTCCCTCCTCCTCTTCCAAACACATTCTGAGAGTTTCTTGTTTAAATAACTATGTACACACCCAGCAAGCCTGGTCTCTCTTTTACATGAGGGTCCTTCACTTGAGGGTCCTACAATGGCTTTAGAGTCGGTTCCAATTGCCTTTTCGGAGATTTACTGCTTGGGACCAAACCTGCAAGGCAAAGAAATGACTGAACACTATAACAGGAAAATCTTGAAGATGAAGGCATTCCAGTGTTTATGAGACTGAGTCTTAATACAAACAAACCCTCAACTCCCTATAGGGCTCTGGTACTCTGGCAAATTGAGTAATTGGGCTTGGGCCCATCAACTCTGTCAGCCAGAAGGCCACATGCCCGCCTGAGGCCTTGGAAAACAGCTCCATACCTCCCTCTGATAAGGACAGTTTCTCAAGTTCAGCTTCAAGTTCAGCATCTGAGATCCTAGGGTTAGGCACACTGTTGGTAAAATGCCTATTGCGGGGGTTGTCAGGCAGATCCAAAGGTTCTTTGGTGGTATCCTGAAGGAGGATGTCCAATTCCTTCTCCAGTTCTTCACTGTCAAAATCTGGAAATTAAAGAGAACATAAAGATGCATAAACTCCAGGGAGAAATGCATTAATGAGTACAGGACTGAGGTTACCAAAACTCCGCTTAGCTTTTCAAAAGATGCCAGGCCTCCTTCCAAATTAAAAAAAAATCCCGGAAGTCAGGAAACTGAGGGTAGCTTCAAGCAGAGACGCTTCTTCCACACTCAGAGTTAAGTCACCAAGGAGGTGTATTCTGTTAACCCCATGGACCTGACCCTGATTCCCCTTGCCCTTGAAGGAGGATCCTCCAGTCGGAAGCCTTGTGAATGAGGAATGCCGGAGCACAGATGGCTCATGAGCACAGCTGTCAAGGAGGAAATGGCAATTCCCTGATTGCTCCTGCAGATGGGCCCCAGGGAGGGCAGGCTAGGAGAGGCCTGCCTGCAGCCGGAAAAGCAAATCTACCGTCAAACTCATCACAGCACAGGGAAACGAAGTCTTCTAGGATGAAAAGAAGAAACAATTGCTTTGGGCCAGGCATGGTGGCTCATGCCTGTAATCCCAGCACTTCGGGAGGCGGAGGCAGGCGGATCACGAGGTCAGGAGTTCGAGACCAGCCTGACCAACATGGTGAAACCCCATCTCTACTAAAAATACAAAAATTAGCCCGGTGTGGTGGTGTGCGCCTATAATCCCAGCTACTCAGGAGGCTGAGGCAGGAGAATCGCTTGAACCCAGGAGGCGGAGGTTGCAGTGAGCCGAGAATGTGTCACTGCACTCCAGCCTAGGTGACAGAGTGAGACTCCATCTAAAAATAAATAAATAAATAAATAAAAATAAAAATAACCACCTTGTCCACTCACCTAAGCCATTGGTTACCCCACCAGCCAGAGTCTGAGAAACTTCATCCTGGGTGTCACAGAGCTGTAAGAGACAAGTGCAAAGCCCTGAGTTGGGCATGGTGGCTCTGAGCATCTCAGGCTTCGGTGGAAAATATCTAGGGTGACAAAGCAATCCTGCCCCAAATGAGAATCAAGAAAAGCTTCCTCAAGTTCACAAGGTCACAAGTCAAGTTTCATTAAAGAGGATGTACAATGAAGTCAAATCTGTCCTCTGTCACTTCCTTCTCTGTGTCTCCCTCCCTGGCCCCTTTCTGTACCTCTTGGATCTGATCCACAAGGCTCTCTGCCTTCTCCACTGTGACATCCTTCATGGAGAGTTTGAGTGCTCCCACCCCAGCCTGGTAGGCATTAAAAACCTAAAGACAAAGCAAAGCTATCAGTGCATATGACAGACATTTGGCAAAATACAGACAATATTGTTTCAACTCCAAAAGGCAGCTTTGGGGTTTTTTGGGCACCCAATCTCAATTTACCCTATACCCACTGAGGCCAAACCTCCTGACTGGAAAGACAAAGGCAACCCCAGCTACATCCCGAAAGAACCCAGGGATCCTCCAAACGGCAAAGCCGAAGCTGCAAGTGACCAACACCCACGGAGAGACCAGCTGAGTGCTGGAGTAGGGGGGAGTGGCTACCATTTGATCTGTCTGGGAGGCATAGATCCGGTCCAGGATGCCTTGAACAGTGTCCAGCTTGGCATGCAAGGCCTCGATGCGCTTCTCTGTCCGTTGCTTGGCCTTGAGAGACCTCAGTGCCTGGGGGGCATGGAGACTTGGGTCAGTGCTGAACTGGGAAGCCAAAGGGCAAGAGAAAGACAGCCCTTCCCAGACCCTAAGGCCGTCCCAGCCTTCTTCCCTCCCATCTGTAAAATAAGCCGTGGTGCCTGGGCCCCTGCAGACTCTGTCCCCCTCAAAACCCCAGCAGGCTGCTCTCCGAACTGCTGGGCATCGCTCCAGGCCTGCCTGGGGCACTGCTATGGGGCTGGAGGAGACAAGAACTCACCAGCTGCTTCTTTCCTGCTCGGCATGCCCGGCGGGCTTCTTCTTTACACCTAGAAACAGAGGGACAGATAAGATGACTGAGTCACAGGACGGGAGGGGCAGGGTCCCAAAGGGTCCCTGAGAGCAGCACTCAAGTCAAGGTGGTTTTAAATCTGAAGACTAAACCCACTCTGCCCAGTGGCAAGAAAAATGATGCTGAAGGTCAAAAACTCTTGTGGCAAGTCAACAGGCAGCTCAAGCAGGCTGACTGAGGACAAGCTTTTTCTACCCACCACGACAGAACATGCAAACAGGGCACCTCGTACATGTCTTCCCAATTTGGGGAGACAGGGAATGAACTGTTAACACCAACAATGACCTTGGACACATCCCTCTGCCTCCCAACAAGGCGAGGCTTTCCCAACTGGAAGACAGACTTCAATGTCTGTGTCCCCCTGCCGGAGTGTGTGTCTTTATCAGGGATTCCTTGTACAGTCATCCAGGGGAAAGGGCAGGGGAAGGGCCCCTCAGAAAGACCTCTGCAAAGGCAGGAACCTGTCTTGTCCACGCCTATATCCCCAGTCCCTAAGACAATGCCTAGCTCAATAAATATTAGTTGAATGGATACTGGTAAGGAAGAGCATAAACATTACACTCACAGTCATGGTCTGCGGGGGAAGAATTAAGACTCGTGTTTTCAGCTGGACACAGTGGCTCACCCCAGCAATGCCAGCACTTTGGGAGGCTGAGGTGGGAGGTGGGAGGCTCGCTTGCACCGAGGAGTTTGAGAACAGCCTGGGCAACACAGTGAGACCCCATCTCAACAAAAAATTTAAAAACTAGCCAGGCATGGTGGTGCGCACTTGTGGTCCCAGCTACTGAGGAGGCTAAGGCAGGAAGATTGTTTGAGCCCAGGAGTTTGAGACTGCAGTGAGCTAAGATCGTGTCACTGCTCTCCAGCCTGGGGCATAGTGCAAGACCCTGTCTCAATTTAGGAAAAAAAAAAAAAAAAAAAAAAAAAGGCCAGGCGCAGTGGCTCACGCCTGTAATCCCAGCACTTTGGGAGGCCAAGATGGGCAGCTCACGAGGTCACAAGATTGAGACCATCCTGGCTAACACAGTGAAACCCTGTCTCTACTAAAAATATAAAAAAATTAGCCAGGCGTGGTGGCAGGTACCTGCAGTCCCAGCTACTCAGGAGGCTGGGGTAGGACAATGGTGTGAACCCAGGAGGTGGAGCTTGCAGTGAGCCGAGATCACACCACTGCACACCAGCCTGAGTGACAGAGCAAAAAAAAAAAAAAAAGAAAGAAAAAGCCTCATTTTTTTTTCTCTTTTGTGATATTCTGTGCTTTCCATGATTTCTGCATTGAGCAGTGAGTACTTCTGTAATTAGCTTAAAAAAAAAAAAAAAACCTATCTTTTTAAAAGCCCACATACAGTAACATTTTGCTGGCTCTGGGGGCCAGCCACAGTGGGGAGGGGGCTCAGCTAGGGGTTAAAAGTTACCTCTCTGCTTCCTGGGATAAGGACTCCACTTTGCGCGAGAGAAGCTGTTCACTCTGCATCAGCTGGTACACCCCAACGTCTACGTCATTGACTGGAGAGACCTTGGCATGTGGCCCTCGGGCAAACTTCACAATCTGAGGGACAGGGAGAAATTACTACTGCTGCTACCACAAAGGCTGAGAACTTCCCAAGCAGGAGTGCTGGTGGGCATATGAGAACAGCAGGCCCCCCTTATCCATAGGGGATACATTCCAGTGAATGGAACCCCCCGTGGATGCCTGAACCCTCGGAGAATATTGAACCCTATATATACAGCTATGCAAACATTTTTCCTTCTTCACAGTTTTTCCTATAGAAGATTCATTCTTACTGTAGATCCTAGCAACCTTAGCAAATGATATTTTGTCTTCCTTATTTAGTCCAGAACTTTCACCTTTTCACTTAAAGGAAGCACCTGACAGCTTCTCTTTGGTAAATCTGGACTGCCAGCACCACTGCTCTTGTGCTTTGGGGCCATTATTAAGTACAATAGGCCAGGCACGGTGGTTCACACCTGTAATCCTAGCACTTCGGGAGGCCGAGGCAGGAGGATCACTTGAGGTCAGGAATTCAAGATAGCCTGGCCAAATGGTGAAACCCCTTCTCTACTAAAAATACAAAAATTAGCCAGGCGCTGTGGCGCATGCCTGTAATCCCAACTACTCGGGAGGCTGAGGCAGAAGAATCGTTTGAACCTGGGAGGTGGAGGCTGCAGTGAGCTGAGATTGTGCGATTGCTGGGCGACAGCAAGATTCTATCTCAAAAAAAAAAAAAAAGTACAATAAGGGTGGCTTGAACACAACCACTGCAGTGCCATGACAGTCAATCTGATGACTGAGACAACTCCTAAGTGACTCAGGCAGGGAGATGCTGGACAAAGGGGAGATGAGCATTCAGGCGGAATACTACGAGGTCCCATCACACTACTCAGAACAGTGCACAACTGAAATCTATGGAACTGTTAATGTTTGGAATTTTCCACTTATTATTTTTGGACCGTGGTTGACTGCAGGTAACTGAAACTCTGGAAAGCAAAATCTCAGATAAGGGGTCGCTACTGTATGTACTGAATCAATCACCGCTGAGTCAGAGAATGAACAGGTGAGCCTCCGTACCTTCTCCCCGTTCTGCTCGAGGACTGTGACCCTCTTCTCCTTCTGCAGCTGCAGCAACACCAAGTAGAAGGTCCTCTCATCTGGGCAGGAGTTAGCGCAGAGGGTGCTGAGCTCTGACAGGGCCACCACGGGGTGGGAGGAGAGGGGCGAGTTCTGATACAGACGATACACCTCCTCAGCCTTTTCCTGCGGGAAAGGCAACATGGGCTGACAGGCCCTGGCCACTGCCACAGGACGCAGGGACCCTGACCCTGAGCTTCAAAACCATGACCACACAAGGCAAGCACCCGGGAATCCCAAGCCCATCCTCCCCAAGTAGCGGCTTTTTAAAAAGGAGGAAGGATCTGTGTTTTTAAGCCTTGGAGGAAAGTTTGGTGACTCCATATGAAATGCACATGAGATGCTGGGAGCCAGCTCTGCACTGCACGTCCACTGGGGATTTTACACTCCTGCCTCTCTCTGGTCTGTGGTTTCCCAAGGGAAGACTGAGGAGGTGAGCTGAAGTAGAACATCTGTGAAGGAGACCTGAGGCCTGATTTCCAGCCCAGCCTGGGTGACGCTGGGCCAGTCACAGCCTCACTAGTCCTCAGTATCACTCTCTGAAGAGGGTGGATGAAATGATATCTAATTCCCTTCCAATTGTAGTCTCTCCATTTTCCTGCCAATTGGCTATACTGCAAACACAAACATTACTGAGTCTGTAAAGAGTCTTAAGGGAAAAGGGCCAGGCATGGTGGTTCATGCTGGTAATCCCAGCACTTTGGGAGGCGGAGGCAGGCGGATTACCTGAGGTCAGGAGTTCGAGACCAGCCTGGCCAACATGGCAAAACCCCGTCTTTACTAAAAATACAAAAAACATTAGCCGGGTGTGATGGTGGGCCCCTATAATCCCAGCTACTTGGGAGGTTGAGGCAGGAGAATCACTTGAACCTGGGAGGCAGAGGTTGCAGTGAGCTGAGATTGTGCCACTGCACTCCAGCCTGGGCAACAAGAGCAAAACTCTGTTTCAAAACAACACAAAACAAAAAACAAAGAAAAGTATATGATAAACAGATGGGATAAGATTAGTGACAAGACTAAGAAATGTAAGTTCCAAGAAACAATGTCACTATTTTGCTCATACATGGAAATTACTACCAGAAACAAGAAAGACTTACTGAGGTGTGCATGGGACGCTGTGAAAATATAGGAAAAGACTGCCTGGGGATTCAGGATTTCTTGGAAAAAAAAAAAATGTTTAGCAGAATTCTGAAGAGTGAGCAAGCTGCTAGGTGAAGAGGTGAAAGGGGTATCTCGGGAAGAGAGAGGAACATAAGTATAGAAGGGTGGGTCAATGTGGCACGTGTACAAATGTAGAGGGGAAAGGAAAGAGAGGAGAAGCACTCCTATGTATATACATACATACATACATATATATATATATATATATTTTTTTTTTTTTTTTTGAGATGGAGTCTCGCTCTGTCGCCCAGGCTGGAGTGCAGTGGCTGGATCTCTGCTCACTGCAAGCTCCACCGCCTCCCAGGTTAATGCCATTCTCCTGCCTCAGCCTCCCTAGAAGCTGGGACTACAGGCGCCCGCCACCATGCCCGGCTAATTTTTTTGTATTTTCAGTAGAGACGGGGTTTCACCGTGTTCGCCAGGATGGTCTCGATCTCCTGACCTCGTGATCCACCCGCCTCGGCCTCCCAAAGTGCTGGGATTACAGGCGTGAGCCACCGCGCCTGGCCAAGCACTCCTATATTATAGAAAGTATAATATCTTATGATGATCCTTTATTCTGTAGATGGTGGGTGGTCACTGAAGAAAACTGACATTGCTAGATTAACAGAAAGCTAACTGCCAATTGGGATAGGATGGATTGTAGAGTTAAGATTAGAGGCAAGGAGACCATTTACACAGGAGATTATGTGGGGTTGAACAACAGACTATTTGAATAATAGACACAGAAAGAGGAGTGGTGGAGCCAAACAAAATTCAGAAGATAACACTGGTAACTGGATACAGGGTTGGAGGAGAAAGTTGAGAGGAAAGTCACCATGGATTGAGTGACTGATGAATGTGACGCTATTAATAGCAAAAAACACAGGAGGAAAAGACTAGTTTAAAGGAAAGACAAAATATCTCATCTTGGATATGATGTTTTAAGATGTCTGACAGAGGCCGGGCGCGGTGATTCACGCCTATAATATAGCACTTCGGGAGGCTGAGGTGGGTGGATCACCTGAGGTCAAGAGTTTGAGACCAGTATGGCCAACATGGTGCAATCCCGTCTCCACTAAAAAAATACCAAAAAATTAGCTGGGCATGGTGGCAGCACCTGTAATCCCAGCTACTTAGGAGGCTGAGGCAGGAGAATTGCTTGAACCCGGGAGGCGGAGCTTGCAGTGAGCCAAGATTGCGCCACTGCACTCCAGCCTGGGCAACAGAGCGAGACTCCATCTGAAAATAGACAAATAAATAAATAAAAAAGATGTCTGAGAGATATCCAAAAATATATATACAACATATAAGTGGATATACAAATCTGAAACTCAAAGGAGACGGCAGGACAGTGATACAATGGTTGAAAGTCCTCAGCATATCCACGGCAAATATCCAAGGACACTCAGGGAGGAAAGTAATAAGCTGAAGGAAGATCACTGTTTAGGAAGTGAAGGAACCCACAAAAGAGAGCCAGCAGGACTGCTTTGGGGGAACCAAGGAGAGCTTGCTGCATCATGTAAACAAATTCAAGGAAATTAGACATTTTAAGAAGCGACTCGTCAATGGTGTCAAAGGGTGGAAAAGAGCCTAGTAAGACACAGACATTGAGTTTTCATGGATTCGACTGCCCTACCAGATACGCAACTACTGCACTAACTGCACAGTAACCACACACAAATAAATTAATGTTATACGACATCAAGAAAAAATACTGAGACAACTGGCCATCCATTTGGAAGAAGAGCTTTTCCCCACCACACACACAAAAATAAGTATTGAAGTAACGACATGTAAAGGGAAAAACTTAAAGTACAAAGTAATAAAAGAATACCCACTTAAGCTTGAGTCAGAAGATGCCTTCCTAAAGAAGACCTGAAATTCAGTAGCCATACGGAAAAGTTTGAGACATCTGACTACAGAAATATGAACCCTTCTATATGGTAAAAGACATCATAAATAAAAATTAAGCAAGCAACAGACTGGGAAACAATATTTACATCCTTAATACTAAATACATTATACGTATCTATCTCTAATACATAAAGAATACAGATTAACATAAAAGATAGCACAATATGGCCGGGCGTGGTGGCTCACACCTGTAAGCCCAGCATTTGGGAGGCCAAGGTGGGCGGATCACGAGGTCACGAGATTGAGACCATCCTGGCTAACAAGGTGAAACCCCGTCTCTACTAAAAATACAAAAAATTAGACGGGTGTGGTGGCGGGCACCTGTAGTCCCAGCTGCTCAGGAGGCTGAGGCAGGAGAACGGTGTGAGCCCGGGAGGTGGAGCTTGCAGTGAGTGGAGATCACGCCACTGGACTCCAGCCTGGGAGACAGACTCCATCTCAAAAAAAAAAAAAAAAAAAGATAACACAATATGAAACAGGCAAAGGATATAAACAGACAATTTACAGAAGGGGATATGTAAATGGCTAGTACATAGGTGAAAAAAATGCTTAATTCACAAACAGGACGTATCATTTTTTTTCCCAATAAGTTGGTAAGATTGAAAAGACTGATATTATCCAGTGCTGATAAGGATGTGGGGAGACTGGACTATAGAATCTTGATGAAAGTGCAACTTATTACAAACTTTTGAAAAGTAGTTTGGCAATTTTTGTTAAAATTTAAAAAGTACATAGGCATTTCTGAAAATCAATTCCACAAAAATAAAGGGAGAAGTACATAGATCTCTGCCCAAGTGGCATTTTTTTGTAATGGAAAAATGGAGAGAGAAATCGGAATGACTTAAATGTCCATCTGCAGAGCACCTGTTGCATAAATTGTGGCATATCAATAGATTATCATGCAGGCATCAAAAAGAATCAAGTAAATCCATACTGTGTAGGGCCTGGAAAGAGGCACCTGATATAATGCAGTGGAAGAAAACAAAGCAGATTGCACACCGATTCCATTTCTAGAAAAAAATGGAGTGATGTGTACACATGTGTCTGTGTGTATATATTCATTCACTCGACAGGGATCTGTTGACTGTCTATCAGGTACCAGGCACCAGGCACTGCTCCCAGGGTCCCAGGGCCCATGGCACTGTTCCCTTCTAGCAGGAAAGACAGACAAGAAACAAGTGAATAAGATTTTCAGGAAGAACTAGAGTTGACAAGGCCATTAAGGAAACAAAAGTCTGTAAACATACACACTCACACACTCACACAAATGTGAAGAGAGTGCCCAAAGAGAGAAAAGTTGGATGAACAGAAAGAAAACTTTCATTTCTTTGTATTTTTTTTTTAATAACAGAATAACAGACAATGTTTGCTTTTTTGTATTTTTCAGTACCATCCAAAAGTAAAAAGTTACTGGCTGTTTCTCTGTCTGGACTCGGGAAAACCAATTTACATCAAGAGCAGGCTTGTTTTGTTTGCAAACCTCACCTGTGGGGATCCACGGGTCTGCCTCTCCTCCGCCCCAGGCTGGAGGACAATGTGAGATGAGAGGCAGACTCAAATCATCCTGCAGTCTTTGCGGGGACCTTGACTGAGCCCTGGAGACCAGGGCACCGGGCAGGGGAATAACCGCGTGGGTGCGGGGAGGGCGTGTAGATGGAGCAAACGGGCTGCCCCTGAAGAAAATGTGGGCTGCTTAGTCAAAGTCCTGGGGGACAGCGAGACATTGGCAGATTTGGGAGACCTCTTCCTCCATCTGAGGCAGAGTGCGCTGGAGTCTCTCACGGTGAGGAGAAACGAGTGCGTCTCTTGGGGTGGGGGTGGGGATTCTGGGCTGGCTCCAGCTGTGTGAAGCCTCTAGGGCTATGCAAGGGCCCTGAGGTCAGGCTTGGTCTGTGAATTTCAAAAATACTCTCTGCAATGTACTTTGGCCACCAGGTGCTCAGTCAACTTTGTAGACACACACACACACACACACACACACACACACACACACACACACACACAGAGAGAGACTCATCCACAGCATCCGGGTGGAGGGGGTGGTTGAAGCAGGTCTGCACCGGGTGACAGAGTGAATGGGAGGTGAGGAAATGGTGACGCAAAGGTCAGCTGAGAAGAAAACAGCAGTCACTAGGTAGGGCCCAGGTACCACAAAAGAGACAATCCGTGTTCAGAAAAGCACGAGTGGGTTTGGGTTTACAGGCTGAGAGGGAGATGGAACATACCGGGCAAGAGGCCAGCCAATGGGACAAAGGGACAAGAGGGGCAGACGCACAGCAGACGAGGGGCAGAGGAAGGACACTACACTCTGAGCACAGAAGGAGGTGGGCTCTGAGGAGGTCAGGCTTGGGGTAGGAGGACAGAAAACTGAAGGCCAACTCAGGAACCCTGAGTCTACCTTCTCAGTGAAGTGCCTGCAGAGAGGAAAGAGGACACAGCGTGTGAGGGGACAGAGAGAAAGAAAAATGAGGCTGTGGTGTGGCTCTGAGGGCCTCCCACAGCTGGGGACTGTGAAGGGGACCTCAGTCTGATGACAGGTGATTTTCTCCAGCAGGGGTGTTAGACCCCATGTGGCTGATCTAGGGCTATGGATTTGCTGGGAGTCTCCTGGTGTGGACCAAAGGAGATGCAAAGGAGCTGAGGGTGTTGCTGAGGAAGGGAGTGGAGCAATGAGCCATGCGATTAAGGCTGTGGGGAAGGCAGGCCGGGAGGAGGCTGACTGACCAGGAGGCTAGGACGGGACCATGGCCCCAGTGGCCTCTTCAAGGGAGAGGAGCATGTGCAGCAGAAGGCAGGCCATCAGAAAGCTGGAAGGGGAAAGGGCACGGTCACAAAGTAGGAAAGCGGAGCTGAGTGCGCCAGTTCACAGGTGGCAATACCGAAAGCCACAAGGTCCTCAGGAATCCTGAGAAACTCCTGTCAGTAAACTACAGAAGGCAAAGCATTTCCTAAACGGCTGCTTAACATGAATCCCTACAGATACTAGAAAATAATCCACTGTTAGTTGCTGAAAATTCCCAGACAAAGGCTAACCCTTGAAATGTACAAGTCCCACTAATGAATATACAAAGCGCAAGTACAAGGGAGGGCAGATAAACTCAGTTATCAACTCAGTCACCATGTAAAAAAGAACGCACCCAAGGGACGTGGAGGATGCTATGATCACATCAGGTGACACCCAGACACCCCCTTCTGAGTACCCACCTTCAACAGCTCCACAGCGACAAGGACCTCCTCGGCTGGAACCTTATTATCTCCCAGCATGTTAGAAAGAGTCCACTTGAGAGGCTTCAGCAGGAAGACCCCGACCCCCCAGGAGATCCAGCTGCTGTCTACACTGGCCATGAAGTCTGACTCCCGCTGCAGCTCCCCTCGACTGCAGGGAAGAAAAAGAAGGGCGTGTAGTAGCACTTAATGCAATATCCCATTCCAGTCTCCAGCTCCCCCTTTACCCCAAAAGAGGAATTTTATCATCATCATCACTACCATTTACTAAGCACCTACGCTGTGCCAACTACATGCAGCATTGTTTATACTCCAGCTCTAAGCCTCACAACACCTCTGCATAGGAGGCGGTGTTAGGAGCATTTTAACAAATGAGAAAACTGAGGGACTCAGAAGGTAAGCAGAGAGGTCAAATCTACACCACGATAGAGCTGGAACCAAAAGGCAAGTGCCCCACTAAGACAACAGAAACACAGGCAGCTTCTGAGCCTTCGCTGAGATTTTCTTTTACAAATGGTGCTCAAAACAATCAAATGAAAATAAATCACTGTCGAGTGCAAGACACAAGGAAGAAAACAAAGATGTACACAGAAAGACTTCGTGCTCTTCCAAGGCAAGGGTGGGGATACGATGTATATGTAAGTATATGTAAGTATTTTGTGGTGCTGGTAACAGTAACAGCAGCTCAATTTATTAAATGCTTGCTGCTGGCCAGTCACTATGCTGAAGGCTATATAAGGAATATCTCTTCAAATCCTCACAATAAACCTAGGTACAATTATCATCACCATTTTAGAATTTGTCAAACTGAGAGTTAAAGACAGCATAAAATTTGTGCAGGGCCACATAATTTAGCAAATGGCAGAGCCAGGATTCAGGCCTAGGCCAGTTGGCCCTCAAGCTAAGCTGTTAACTATTAGGTTGGTGCAAAAGTAATTGTGGTTTTTGATACTACTTTTAATACTAATACTATGCCACGTCGCCTCTGTGGAGAAGTATCACCCTCAGAAATTCTTCAGGACCCAGGTAAGCAACAGGAAGCTTCAGTGGAGCGTCAGCAGTCAGGAGAAGAGACTTTAATACCATCGACGTATTAAAGTGTCTGGATCGGAAGTGAAAGATCGTCACCCTTCTACAGTAAGGAGGTCCATTCTGGTCTCATCCCTCACTGACTTCTTCAACTACTGTTTCTCCTGTTTCCTACTTCAGGCATGAACAAAAACGGTTTGCACTGTACACATTCTCCGAAAGCCTTGCTGGCCAGGTGCAGTGGCTCAACGCCTGTAATTCTAACACTTTGGGAGGCCGAGGTGGGAGGATCGCTTGAGTTCGGGAGTTCGAGACCATCCTAGGCAATATCAATGTCAGCCAATGGGAAGGTACTGAGAACAAAAGTAGAGAAGGGAGAGCTCTTAATCAGAAAGAGCAGCAAACTAAAAAAAAAGAAAAAGAAAAAAAGAAACAAACAAAAAAAAACACATCAGAGTTGACTTTCTCCCTCCTTCACTGAGAAGGGTATCACGCTAGGCTGGTCTCAGAATGATACGTACATTGAACTGCAAATGACTTATCCAAAGACCAGGTATCCAGTCCCGGTATCAGCTTTAACCACCTGTGTAACTCTGAGGAAGTCACTTGATCTCTCTGAAACTCAGTTTCCTCTTCTGTCTGCTGAGGATAATCTACCACCGCACCACAAGACCGCTGAGTGGGTCAAATGGTGCATACAAAGTATCAGCATGCTGCCAAGCACTGTACATCTATTAGTTATCAATGTTACCCCTCAGATACCGCCAAAACACTGCACCTGTCACACACGTATCTCCTACAGACCTTTTAAGGGCACTCAGATACTCAGCAAAGCCCTCGTTCTCCTTCACGTCCTCTCTGCTCCAAAAAGCCTGTGCCAAGGACAAGCCAGACGCACGAGCTGTGCCAGGGGTTGTTGGCAAGATGCCTACAGGCCTCTTCCCCACGAATGCCCGCTTTTTAGCTCTGACCTTCTCTAGGTTAATGAATACTATCTCTTAGACCTTCTGCTCCACGGGCCATTCAAATTTGGAGGCTCTTACGAAATAACTACATAACGGGGTCCCAGTTCAGGCAAATCACTGTCACCTTTGCTAGGCTGGTTTCTCTGGAACTCATCTAATGGGACTATCCCCGACCCCAAATCTTCCCCCAGACCCCCCCCTTCCTCTCCCTCCAAGCCTCCCTAGCCCGGCCTCCTTATTTTCCTTCTTCGCCTTCTGAACCCACACTGGATGCCTTCTCTGGGCCAGACACTGGGCTGGGCGCAGCGCAGTGCAGAGAACAGGACCAGGGCCCGGCCCTCGGAGAGCTGCCCCCGCCAGCCCTCGTGACCCCGGCCCCGGCCCGCCCCTCACCGCAGCAGGTCCTGCAGCACCGTGGCCAGCCCCAGCGGGACGCTCCCCTTGCGTTGAAAGGCCTCCTGCAAGTCCCGCAGACGCAGGCGCACCACCCCCTGGCGGCGGCTGTGGCTCAGCACCAACGGCGCCCAGAAGCCCATCTTGCTGTCCCAGTCGGTGCTGTTCACCTCGCGACTCCTCTTGAAAGCGGAGAACAGGAAGGACATGCGCTCCTCGTCCTCCTCCCACTCGGGGGGCAGTAGGCCCGCCGGGTCTCCCCCGGCCGGAGCCTCGGCCTCCCGCTCCGGGGACCACATCGGAACCCCCCAGCCCCGGCAAGGCACCGAACACAAGCCCGGCCCTGGTCCCCTTCCGCCCTAGTTCCCTCCCGGCTTCCGTTCCTTGACCACCTCCTTCTCGTTCACACGTCACCGCCGCCCCGAGCATGAAATAAGTTCCGTAAGTCTTCAAGGCGCATGCGTTGCGCTGCGCTCCGTAACCGGGCGGCAGGATGATGAAGTTCTTTTCAGAGAGACACCGAGCGCTTGCGCCGACCCCTCCTCCCACGGTCTTTGTGCGGAAAGAAAGGCTTGCGCCTGCGCGGCAGGTAGCTGCAGCTTACGTTCCCTTCTGGAGTTTGGCAAAGCGTTCTACAGCGGCTTCTGACCTGTGGCTTCAGAAAATGGAACGGGGGAATCGCCGCAGAGGGGCGCCAGTGGTGCCCGGACCACCCGGATGGATCCGTGAATCTCTGTATAGAGGGAAATTTATATCAATGAATGTACAAACCAGAAAAGAAGAGAGATCTAAAATAACCTAAGATTCCACCTTGGTAATCTAGAATAAGAACAAATTAAGTTCAAAGTAAACAGAAGAGAAAAAATAAAAGAACAGAAATCAATGAAATTGAAAACAAAATCAAAAGAATATCAACAAAACCTAAAGCTGATATTTTGAAAAGGTCAATGAAATTGATTAACTTCTAGCCTGGCTAACAAAGAGAAAAAACAAATAGTCAATATCAGAAATGAAATAAGGGACATTACTACAGATCCCATGGGCATGAAAATGATAATAAAGGAATCCTATGAATAACTGTATGTCCACAAATTTGATAACCTAGGCGAAATTGACACATTTCTTGAAAGCACACTCTGCCAAAACACACAAGAGGAAACAGACCACTTGAATATGTTTATGTCTAATTAATTGAATCAATAATTAATAACATCCAAACAGAAAGCATTAGGCTCAAATGGTTTCATTTGATAAGTTCTACCAAATATTTAAAAAACAAGTTATGCCAGTTCTGTGCCATCTCTTTTATATGATAGAAACAAAAGGAATACATCTCAACTGAGCCTATGAGGCAAGAATTACCCTAACGCCAAAACCACACAAACGACATTACAGGAAAGAAAAAACACCACCGGGTGTGGTGGCTCACGCCTGTAATCCCAGCACTTTGGGAGGCCAAGGCAGGCAGGTCACGAGGTCAGGAGATTGAGACCATGCTCACTAACTCGGTGAAACTCCGTCTCTATTAAAAATGCAAAAAATTAGCCGGGCGTGGTGGCGGGCGCTTGTAGTCCCAGCTACTCCGGAGGCTGAGGCAGAAGAATGGCGTGAACCTGGGGGGCGGAGCTTGCAGTGAGCGGAGATCACGCCACTGCACTCCAGCCTGGGCGACAGAGCTAGACTCCGTCTCGGAAAAAACAAAAACAAAAACAAACAAAAAACGCAAAATAATATATCTTGTGAATACAGAGGCAAAAATCCTCAATAGAATATTAGCAAATTGAAACCCACAATGTATTGAAAGAATTGTACACCAGGATAAAGTGGAATTTATTACAGCTAGGCAAGGCTAGTTCAATGTTCAAAAATCAATTAATATAATCCACCAATAGGCTAAAGAAAAATCATATGATCATATCGCCAGATGCGGAAAAAGCATTTGACAAAATCCAACACCAGCTCATGATAAAAAGTCTCGGCACTCCAGGAACAGAGGGACACATCCTCCACTTGATAAAGAACATAAGCAAGAACCTTACAGCCAACATAAGAATTAATGGTGAGAACCTAGATCCTTTTCCACTGGAATCAGGAATAACACAAGAATGTCTGCTTACACCATTCCTAGTCAATGCTGTACGGGAAATCCTAGCTAACATAGTTAGCCAAGTAAAGGAAATAAAAGTTGTACAGACTGAAGAGGAAGAAATAAAATGGTATGTCTTTACAAATGACATAATTATCCATGTAGAAAATTATGAAAGTATTGCCAAATCAATGTCCTGGAACTAAGAAGCCATGAGAACAAGATTGCAGATACAAAGTCAATTTATAAAAGTCAATTCCTTTCCTATATACCTATAATGATCAAGTGGAATATGAAATTAAAAACGCAATACCATTTACGTTAGCACCCCCTATAAAAAAATTAGGTAAAAATCTAACAAGATATGTACAAATTCTACATGAGGAAAACTACAAAATTCTGATGAAAGAAATCGACGAAGGACTAAATAAATATAGAGGCATTTTATATTCATGGACAGGAAAACTCAATATTATCAAGATATCGATTCTTCCCAAATTGATCTGTAGATCCAATGCAATTCCAAAATCATGGCTAGTTATTTTGTAGATATCAACAAACTAATTCTAAAGTTTGTGTGGAAAAGCAAAAGACTCAGAAGAGCCAAAATAATATTGAAGAAGTAAGTCAGAGGATGGATACAACCCAACTTCAAGAATTACTATAAATCAACAGTAATCAAGATAGTGTGTTATTGGTTTAAGAATAAACAAATAACTCTGGGAGGCCGAGGCGGGCGGATCACGAGGTCAGGAGACGGAAACCATCCTGGCTAACACGGTGAAACCCCATCTCTACTAAAAATACAAAAAATTAGCCAGGCGTGGTGGCGTGCGCCTGTAGTCCCAGCTACTCGGGAGGCTGAGGCAGGAGAATGGCATGAACCCGGGAGGCGGAGCTTTCAGTGAGCCGAGATTGCACCACTGCACTCCAGCCTGGGCAACAGAGCGAGATTCATCTCAAAAATAAATACATAAAAATAAACAAATAGATAAATGGAACAGAATAGGAATCCCAGAAATAGACACACATAAATATAGTCAACCGACCTTTCAAAAAAAGAAAGGCAATACAATGGTTCAAAGAGTCTTTTCAACAATGAGCACTGGAACACCTACATGCAAAAACAAAAACAAATCCAGGTACAGATCTTACACCATTCACAAAAGCCAAATCAAAGGGATCATGGACTTAGATGTAAAAACACAAAACAATAAAACTCCTAGAAGACAAAACATCTAGATGACCTTGGGCATCATGATTACTTTTTAGATACAACACAAAAAGCATAATCCATGAAAGAAATAATTGATAAATTAGACATAATAATTATTATTTTTTTTGCTCGGTGAAAGACACTGTGAAGAGAATGTGAAGATAAGCCACAGACTGGTAGAAATTATTTGCAAAAGACATCTCCGATAAAGGACTGTTAATCCAAAACACACGAATAATTCTTAAGACTCAACAAAAAGAAGAATAACCCAATTAAAACATGAATAAAAGATCTGAGCAGACATCTCACCAAAGAAGATATACCAACGGCAAATAAGTATATGATAATATGCTCAATAGCATATGTCATTGGGGAACTGCAAATTAGACAAGAATAGGATACTACTACACACCTATTAGAATGGTGAAAATCCAAAATACTGACCACACCAAATGCTGATGAGGATGCAGAGCAACAGGAACTCTCATTCATTGCTGGTGGAAATGCAAAGTGGTACAGCTATTGTAAGGTCGGCGGAGAGAAAGGACCAGTAGGCTCAAAGTCAGGCAAGCAAGTTTGTTGACCTGCCGGCTTGCTCCATAACCCTCAGAGGAGGCAGCCCAGAGTGTTTAAGGTGAGGGGCTTATATAGGGATTTGAGGGCCTAGGGGCTTTCTGAGTTAGTCTACATCCTGCAGTTGTTTGTCACTTCTTGCCCCACCTGGCTTAGAGTACCAGGATGTGGTTTGGCCTGGGGGTGGATACAGCTGTACCTAAGTTCTGAGAACTTGGGGCGGAGCCGGCATCTTGGAAGAAATAAGCTGCAGGGTATTTAGGGGAGGGGGCTTGCTGCTTTCTTCTGGGAGCAGGTTGTCTCTGACAGCTACTTTGGAAGACAGTTTGGTCGTTTTTCACAAAATTAAACATTCTTTTACCATGCAAGTTTACTTATAGTTTTAACTTTGAAACAAAGATTGTAACAGTCCTTTCCCAAAACAAACCTCCTTACTGCCTGTGGACTAGACTACCTAGACTGCCGCAAGATTAGAAATTATGGTAATTTTGCTAAATAATTCAAGATGTAGCTATTTTCATTAAACCAATATCAATGTCTTATTTATTAATGATTACAGGAGCAGAGGTCATTCTGTCTTGGGCTGGGTTTATAGTTTTGTAAGCTCTGTGCCAAATTTTGACACCTTATAGTATTTGGTAGGGTTAAGTATGAAATTTCTTGATTAATAAATGCAAATAAAAATGTATGCTGGCAATTCTTAAGACATTTCTGATATTACTTTACCAGTAATTTTAAAGCTAGCTTATTTATTAAAGATTTTACTTATCAGATAACTTGAAAAAGCATTTGACCAGTCTTTCCTTTTTCTAATAAAGTACTTGATGTAAATGCTTTTATTTTTTAAGACCATTAATTAGAGCTCTTTTATATATTTTCAGGAGTGCAACATTGTGTACACAACATATAAATACATAGATGTATTAGGCATGTTGATAGAAGAAGTACATCTTACAGATTCACAAAAATGCTTTTTTTCTTTATCTTAGGCGTTCAGATTCCTGATAACCTGTTTCACAACCCTAGGCAGTTGTCAGCTAAATAGTCTTAAATTTGCATATTAAAGGAAACAATTCAAGTGAAAGTCAGATAGCAAAATTTACATTATAAGGTCTGAAGAGAAATTCTGGTGAGCTGGAGGGAAATTAAAACAGATTTAATTGCTAATTTAACATAAAATTATAGAAATTTATCATTGGATTATATAAGGAGATCAATTTTATTTAGATCGGGATTGCCAATTCTTTTTTAACTGGATCTCTGAGCTCTGGGAAGAGCCCACACTGAATCCTGGGTCTCCAAAAAGGGAGAATTATTATAAGGCTAGACCACATGATGCTTTTACAGTGCACTTAAAACGTTTTTTTAAACAAAGCATTTCTAGGTGTCTAAACTATACTCTTTCTTAAAAACCCAAGAGTAGCCTCTGTTGCAATAACTGAGTAAAAAAAAATCGGGTGGCCGGGTACTGTAACTCACGCCTGTAATCCCAGCCCTTTGGGAGGCAGAGGCAGGCCGATCACGAGGTCAGGAAATCAAGGACCATCCTGGCTAACAGGGTGAAACCCCATCTCTACTAAAAAATACAAAAAATTAGCCGGGCATGGTGGCACACACCTGTAGTCCCAGCTACTTGGAAGGCTGAGACAGGAGAATCGCTTGGACCCGGGAGGCGGAGGTTGCAGTGAGCCAAGATAGTGTCAATGCATTCCAGCCTGGGCCACAGAGCGAGACTCCATCTAAAAACAAAAACAAAAATAACAACAACAAAAATTCAAAATTTTATTATTATACTTCAGCTAGGACAAATTGCTGCTATTTCAGAAGTACCAAGTATTGGTCGGACACAGTGGCTCACGCCTGTAATCCCAACACTTTGGGAGGCCGAGGCTGGGGGATCACCTGAGGTCAGCAGTTCAAGACCAGCTTGACCAACATGGAGAAACTCCATCTCTACTAAGAAATACAAAATTAGCCAGGTGTGGTGGCTCATGCCTGTAATCCCAGCTACTCGGGAGGCTGAGGTAGGAGAATTGATTGAACCCGGGAGGTGGAGGTTGTGGTGAGCTGAGATCACACCATTGCACTCCAGCCTGGACAACAAGAGCGAAACTCCATCTCAAAAAAAAAAAAAGAAGTACCAAGTATCAAACCAGAAAGGACTTGATTTAGGAACAAAACCTTGGCTGTCATGAATAGGGGGGAAAAAAAGGCAGAAACTTAGCTATTGAACTGCAGAGTAGGGGACAGCCATTGCTTTCAGTTTGGCCTGGCTAGCAAAAAGGTGGCCTTGTTATGTAAATAAAATCCCTTAAGTAGTCAAAATAAAAAAATTTTTTTTCTCTTTTGTTGACCGTTTTTCCCCCCTCACTATACCAGCTTTTTTTGTGTATGGGAATTTAGCCATTTCAGAGGCGTTGTTCCCCATAATTTGGAACTTTCCTTCGGATTTGGTCAAGTTGGATAGAGTTGGTCAAACCCAATGGGAGAAAAGTATGAAACAACAAAACAGAAACAAACAAACATCAACAACAACAAAAAACTTAAGCAAAACAAACAGTCTCACAACTTGTATAATTCCTGAGCATGCTAATGGTAAGGAGAAATAAAGACCAGCTGGTTGTTAATCTTAACTTTAGCCAAGATAAACCCCAATTCACTTGCTTATCTAGGGATGGATCTCAGGCTGTAGACCACTCTCTATCATCCTAGAAGCAGAAAAACAAACAAAACAACAACAACAACAACAACAAACTCACCTTCCCTGTTGGAAGTGAGCTCAAACTCCATAACGGAGTTACCTATCTTCCATCATCATGGAAGCAAGGAAAAGGAAAACTTGCCTTTCTTGTTGGAAGCAAGTAAAACTCCAAAAAAAAAAAAAGAGTTGTACAACAAAAAAATAAAATAAACTTCAGATTTCGACCAAATTTGGGTATTCTCTTGGTGGGCGGCGGGGTTGGGGGGAGCGGGCTGTGGTGGAGGGTGCGTTGCTCTCAGACCTCAGCAAATTGTCCCATTGGTTTGAGCCATAAAGTAAGCTCATGCTGGTACCAAGCACCAATAGGTGTTTGTCAAATCTAGCTTGTCAAAGGCTAGATTTGTCAAAGGTGAGGAGCATGTCCACTCAGAATCCCTTTATGGTTATTAAATATGGACCCAGAAAATCTGAGACAGGTCTCAGTCAATTTAGAAAGTTTATTTTGCTGGCTGGGTGTGGTGGCTCACGCTTGTAATTCCAGCACTTTGGGAGGCTGAGGTGGGCAGATCACAAGGTCAGGAGATCGAGACCATCCTGGATAACACGGTGAAACTCCATCTCTACTAAAAATACAAAAAATTAGCTGGGCGTGGTGGTGGGCGCCTATAGTCCCAGCTACTTGGGAGGCTGAGGCAGGAGAATGGCATGAACCTGAGAGGTGGAGCTTTCAGTGAGTGGAGATCACACCACTGCACTCCAGTCTGGGCAACAGAGCAAGACTCCATCGCAAAAAAAAAAAAAAAAAAAAAAGTTTATTTTGCCAAAGCTGAAGATGTGCACCCATGAAACAGACTCAGGAAGGCCTGATGACATGTGCCCAAAGTGGTCAGGGCACAGCTTGGTTTTACACATTTTAGGGAGACATGAGCTATCCATAGATATATGTAAGAAGTACATTGATTTGGTCTGGAAAGGTAGGACAAGTTGAAGCAAAGGCAGGAAAACTCAAAGTGGAAAAGGGATGTATTAGGGTTCTCTTAGAGGGACAGAACTAATAGGATATATATAAAGAGGAGTTTACTAAGTATTAACTTACACGATCACAAGTCCCACAATAGGCTGTATGCAAGCTGAGGAGCAAGGAGAGTCAGTCCGAGTCCCAAAACTGAAGAACTTGGAGTCTGATGTTCATGTTCAAGGGCAGGAAGCATCCAGCACAGGAGAAAGATGTAGGCTGGGAGGCTAGGCCCATCTCTCCTGCTCATGTTTTTCCGACTGCTTTATATTGGCTGGCTGCTGATCAGATTGTGCCCACCAGATTAAGGGTGGATCTGCCTTCAGCAGCCCACTGACTCAAATGTTAATCTTTTTTGGCAACACCCACACAGACACACCAGGATGAATACTTTGTATCCTTCAATACAATCAACTGGACACGCAGTATTAACCATCACAGGGGGCTTCCAGGTCACAGGTAGGTGGGAGACAAACAGTTGCATTATTCTGAGTTTCCAATTAGCCTTTCCAAAGGAGACAATCAGATATGCATTTTACCTCAGTAAGCAGAGGGATAACTTTGAATAGGATGGGAGGCAGGTTCTGCCCTAAGCAGTTCCCAGCTTGAATTTTCACTTTAGCTTGGTGATTTGGGGGGGCCCAAGATATCTTCCTTTCACAAAGGATAGCCAGAAATGTGGAATTGACTTTGGAAGTGGGTAACAGGCATAGGTTGAAACAGTTTTGAGGGCCAGAAGAAGACAGGAAGATGTGGGAAAGTTTGTAACTTCCTAGAGACTTGTTGAATAGCTTTGACCAAAATGCTGATAGTGATACATGGATAATGAAGTCCAGGCAAAGGTGGTCTCAGATGGAGATGAGAAACTTGATGAGAACTGGAGTAAAGGTCACTCTTGCTATGCAAAGAGACTGGCGTCATTTTGCCACTGCCCTAGAGATTTGTGAAACTTTGAACTTGAGAGTCATGATTTAGGGTATCTGGATGAAGAAATTTCCAAGTGGCAAAGCGTTCAAGAAGAAGTAGAGCACAGAAGTTTGGGAAATTTGCAGACTGACATTTCAATAGAAAAGAAAATCTCATTTTCTGAGAAGAAATTCAAGCTGGCTGCAGGAAGTTGCATAAGTAATGAGGAGCCAAATGTTAATCACCAAGACCATGGGGAAAATGTCTTTATGTGTGCAGGGCGTATCAGAGGTCTTCACGGCAGCCTCTCCCATCACAGACCTGGAGGTCTAGGAGGAAAAATTGGTTTCCTGGACCAGGCCCAGGGTCCCCCTGCTGTTTGCAGCCTTGGGACTTGGTGCCCTGCATCCCAGCCACTCCAGCCATGGC